GTGAATGGGAAGGGCCTCGTGACCTCCTCCCTAAGTCCACTCGCTTCACTAGCCTCCTAGCAGAACTCCTCACCGGACTTGTTTAAAGGACGTGGGCACACCTACACACACTCTCGTGCACACACACACGTGCCCACACAAAATCATGCACACCCACACACCCACTTGTGCACACACACCCATTGGACATGTGCATGCATGTGTGCACGTACGCATGCTTTTATGGCCTTGGAGCAACTGCCAGAGATATTTTGAATGATTTCCTTTTAATAAAATATTAATCGTTCATTGCTTCTGAAACAGCCATAGAAAGTGATGGCACTTTTTAAAAAGATTTTATTGGGGAATTGGGGGAGGGGAACAGACAAGTTGCTGTCCTTTTGTTCTTCAGTCTAGTTGTGGAGGACGTCGCTTCACTGGCCATGTTGGTATTGTGATCATTGCACTCTTCCCGGGTGAGGCAGATCGGTCGCCGGCCACTGGATGGCTGCTCACGGCAGCTCTTGGCAGCTCACACCAGCTGCTGACCGCTCAAGCTGGCTGCCAGCTGCTCGTGGTAGCTTACAGGAGCCCACTGCAGCCTACGCCGTCGCTGGCGACTCAACGGCAGCCCAGCTCCAGGTCAAGCTGTTGTTCACCATCTTAACTGTAGAGGACGCAGCGTCACTGGCCCTCATGTGGGATCCGAACCAGGGCTCTGCTGCTCAGAGCTGGCGTCCCAAGCCAACTCCTAACCAGCGCGCCACTCGGCCAGCCCAGCAATGGTGCTTTTGAAGTCGCTTTACCACTTGATGCAGGAAGCTCTGAAGGCAGATTCTGGGGGCTGTTTGTGTCCCCTCCCTCCATATTTTGTGCACTTGAAGGCGCCCCAGCACCTAACTGTGGGAGAGCGCAGGTGGGGGGGACAGGTCAGAGGAGGCCTACCAGGTGGACACCAGTGTGGGGAGGGGACAGGGAGGCACCAGGAATGCTGGACGGTGCTGTTGCTCGGACACATGAGGACAGTGTCAGCGGATGCCCCCTCCAAGCCCTGGTTGTGACCTCGTGGTGTGTGAGGAGGTGAGAGGGAGGTCAGTGTGTGTGTGTGTGTGAGAGAGAGAGAGACGCATCACGGACATTGCGTGGCAGGGGACCTGAGGCACAGGCCATGCACTGTGGCCGAGCTGGGCAGAATTTGAATCCACCTCTCTGAGGCAGCAGCTCAGGGCTGCCCAGCCACCCTGCCTGGTCCCAGCCGGATGTGCCATGTTCGTGCTGATGGCCGTCCAGGGGCTGCCTCGCCTGCTCTCACTCTGGCCTGGCCCTTGGTCCCTAGAGCGGCAGCATGGAGTGCTGGCTCCTTGGGACATGGGCTGCGAGCGGGTCCCAGGGGCCACGTCTGCCTCGCGTGGCAGCCCCCAGGCGTCTTTCTCTCTGCCTCCTGGACACCTGACAGGCCAGGTAATTGTGTGAGTGGAGGGTGCTCCACATGACATGTGTGGTTACGTGCACATGTGTGTATGTGACCACGGTCTGGTCAGCAGCCCAGTGAAGAGGAGGGCTGGCATGACTAGAGTTCAACAAAAGCCCTGGAACTCTTTAAAATACCTTTATTGAGATCTAACGCACCATTCAATCACCCATTTGAAGTGTACATTCAGAGAGCTGTGCGACCGTCATGACTCTCTAGTTTGAGGACACTTCATCGCCCCACCGAGAAATCTGGTGCCATTCGCAGTCACGCCCCATCGCCCCCGGCCCCTGGCCACCACGGACCTGCTTTCTGTCTCTGGGTCTGTTTCGCACACTTCATAGAAACAGAATCACACAGTCCCTGGGCTTTTGTGTCTGCTTCCAGCGTAACTCCATTCATACACAACGTCTGCGTGCTCCCTTCCTTTCGAAGGCTGAGTAGTGTCCCATCGTACGGTGCAGTGCGTTTTCAGTAGCCCTTCTTCAACGACGAGCATTTCAGTTTCCACGTTTGGTGATTGTGAATAACGCCGCTGTGAACACTCGTGTGCGAGTTTCTGTGAGGACGTGTGGCTTCCTTTCTCTTGGACGACACCTAAGAGTGGAACTGCTGGGCCACGTGGTCACTTGATGTGTCACCACTTGAGGCACCGCCAGGCTGTCGTCCCCTGCGGCCGCACCGTCTCACGTCCCCACCAGCTGTGTATGGGGTCCTGGTCTCCACACCGTCACCAACACTGCCGATCATTCCAGCTGTCCTGACGCGTGTGAAGTGGGGCCTCACTGTGGTTTTGCGTTTTCATTTGCGTTTCCCTAGTGACTAATGATGTTGAGCATATTTTCATGTCATTATGGGACATCTGTACATCTTTTTCGGAGGAAGTTCTGTTCATATCCTTTGCCCATTTTAAAATTTGGTTGTTTGTCTTTTTATTGAGTTGTATTCTTTGGTTACTCTGGAGACTAGAACCTTTTCACATATGTGGTTTGCAAATATTTTTTCCCCTTCTGAGGGTTGTCTTTGCACTTTCTTGGTGTTTTCCTTTGCAGCACAAAAGGTTTTAGTTTTGATGGAGTCCAATGCCTTTTTTGAATCACCTACGCTTTTGATGTCATATTGAAGAACCAATGTCTAACCCGGGGTTACAAAGCCCTACTCCTTTGGGATGTGTGGAGTTTGAATTATGGGGGAGGTTTTGATGGGTGGGCAGGACAGCCCGGTCTGAGCAGGCTGTGAGGCGGCGGACGGCTGCTCGGGCAGCCTGCAGGGGTCGACGTGCCCGAGGCTCCTGCGGGTGCAGGACAGGCACGGGCGGCTGGCTCTGGTCTGGGCGGGGCTCTCTAGGCTGCCGGACAGGCCGCGGATGAGGCAAGAGGTATTTTAGGAATAGTGATCTGGCAGCCCAGTTAGGAGGCAAAATGCTGGAGCCAAGATGAGGTAATGGTAGCCGGGATTTAACTGGGGGGTGGGGGAGGTCAGGTGCAGGAGGTGGCAGCTGCAGCTGGGGACGGCCGGAGGGGGCCTAGGAAACGGAGTCCACCTCCCAGGCCAGCAGCCTGAGCTGGCAAAACGCAGCCTGGGGCCTGGGAGGTGACAGTCTCCCCTCCCCCCTAAACCGGCCCCATCTGCAGAGCTCTCTGTGCTCCGGGGGTGGGCTGTCCACACTGTTGGGCCCTGGTTGAATTTCCTTGTCTAAGGAGGGGGCTTCCTCTGGTGGGACTCCTACCACGAGGACGGGGCCCGACCCAGCCACTCGCAGTGGCCCAGTTTCAGACTAAGTGTCCACGCGGCATGTGGGACAGCGAAAGCAGGACCTCTGAGGCTTGCCCGCTCGTTGGTTCGTTCGCATCGCTGTTAAGGGTGAGGGTGACATAACACCCCGTGTCGAGGAAGAGCAGGAATTAATGCGTAGCTTGTCGAAAGTCCCAGGAAACGTGTGGAGTGAACGCCTGGGGTCTGGCAGACATCGGCAGGGCACCGCGGGGTCTTGGGGTGACCAGAGGGTGCCAACAAGGGAGTCTGTCATGCGTCTGGGGCATTCCTGCCTCATGTACCAGGGCGTTCCCTCTGATGAGCAGAGCCTCAGGGCTCTGGTGGGAAGAATTTCAGGAGTATCTGATTTGCTGTGTCCCTGCCGCCCCCTCGCCCCCTCCAGCCTTCGCGGCTGGTTTGGGGCCCAGGCCAGGCTGTCAGATTCCTGTCCCCGTGCGAAAGCTGACTGAGGGCCAAGGCCAGGTGAGGCGTCTGGGCAGCTAAAAATGTTCCTGTGCGTCAGGCAGAGCCCAGCTCCGGCAGTGACCTCACGTCTGCACTTGCCGGAGTGAAGTGTGCACCTGTGCGTTCAGAGCCCAGGGGGACACTGACCAGGCACCAGGCAGGCGGCCCCAGGACAGGCAGCAGGTGGTCCCGGGACCCAGCTTCAGCTTTGTGCTCCGGGCCCCCATCCCTTCCTGCCCCCGAGAAGCACCCGTTTTGTGCCCTTGGGTGAGTCCCTTCACCTTTCTGTGCCTTAGTTTCCTCCTCCAGGAGAGGGGTGCCGTGCAGTCCAGCTCATCTCGTTTCAGGATGGGGTCGGGTCCTGGCCACGCGTGGCACGTGGGGCCTTTCCGAACGCACACCTGTGTGAGGGTACCGGCGGCCGGCTGCCTTTCACCTGGGGCCCTTGGTTCTAGTCGAGCAAACCAGGTCCCGAGCCGCACCTGTCGGATCCGGCTCAGGTCACAGCACGTCCCGTCCGCAGCCCCTGGCTGTCCCCACTGTGGCTGCCTGGAGCACTGTCTGACCAGGACCGCGGCCGGTGGCTCTCAACGGAGCTGAGCCCAGCACCCGCTTTCCCACCTCCCCGCCGGCTTTCCCCACGTCGCTCCCAGGGGCTGGGGCTGGTTCCCCCGCCCTAGGCTGCCGAGGGCCTGCTCGTGTGCGACTGGACGTGTGAGTCCAACTTCGGGAAAGGACTTAAGGAGTCAGATGTCAGCTGCAGCCCTGAGAAGAAATACATGCAGCTGCGTCTTTGTGTTGACAGTTCCAGAAGGAATGTCCCATAAAACTGAGCAGTCCGTTTACTACCTGTGAGTGCAGAGGCCAGCACACCTGCGATTGCAAAGGGGGTTTGGCTGAGCATCTGGGTGGTAAAGGGGAGTGTGTTTCTGTAGTGACGGTTCACGGTGGGGACTGGGTTTCGTGCCCGTGTCCTCCACTCTGACTGCAGTGTGGATAAAGCAGAGGATGTGACGGGCGGGGCGGGGCGCTGTGCTGGGTCCTGGGGCGTCTGACACCGTAACTCTGGGATCAGCCAAAGAGACGACTCTTTCTTTCTTTGGTGCCTGGGCTCTGTACACTGAAGAAAGGAGGTGACAGGAGGCCCCGGGCAGGGGCTAGACAGGGTCACTGCTAGGTGGCGGTGGGGAGGCAGTGGGAGGTGCCCTGGAGGAAGGTCCGGGGCGCGTGTGTCAGCGCGGGGCTCTGCAGGTAGGTCTGGGGGGTGTTGGAAGGGACAGGCTGGGGCCTGGGTGTCCCGACCACCTGACCCTGGCTTGTGTCTCCACAGCATCAAGATGGTGCTCATGTGGACGAGCGGCGACACCTTCAAGACAGCGTACTTCCTGCTGAATGGCGCGCCCTTGCAGTTCTCCGTGTGTGGCCTGCTGCAGGTGCTGGTGGACCTGGCCATCCTGGCCCAGGCCTACATCTTCTCCCGCCACCCCCCAAAGCCTGCCCCCCACACGACGCACCCCACCAGTGCCAAGGCTCTCTGAGGCGGCTGGGAGGACGAGGACATGCGACTGTGGGCCCGCGACGGGTGGCCGGGGGCCCCGGGGTCCAGCATCTGTGAGCCTCGGCCCGGCACGCAGGGCCTGTGGTCTCAGCGGTGAGGGCCCTCGGCATGGCCGGGTCCAGGGTGCGCCTAGCCAGACGAGAGGGCAGCACACCAACGCACAGGACCCATGTCCTCGTTCATGTGGCCGGAGCTGGCCTCTCCGGGGCCACCTGCACCTGGCTGCCCCCCAGGATCCAGAACTCCGCCTTGGCCCTCGTCCTGGCAGTGGGGCCCAGAGGCCTGGCTGCTATAGTGGCCTCCTCCCTGGGGGTGAAGGGGCAAGTCCTAGTCCGTGCCAGGCGGGCACTGGCCAGAGCAAGCTCAGGGGGTTTGAACCACAGCCTGGCCTTCTCCATGAGCCCTAGAGGGGGTGGCAGGGTGTGGATGGTGCACGTGAGCTCCTGACGGCCAAGGGCCTGGGGCTGGGCCAGGCAGATGGACGCAGCCACCCCCAGGAGGGCCGTGTTTCCCCTCATTTTGGTAACGCACGCACCTGCAGCACATGGACGCGATGTCCATCTTCCAGGACGGGGACAGGTGAGGCAGGCCTCCCTGTGGTGGCCCCGCACCCCACACTTTGCAGCTCCTGGACCTGAAGTGACTTCCAGGGTGGTGGGCCACGGCCTGGTGACGGGGTCCGTGCCCACTGTCCTCTGCCTGTGCACGGTTCCCCGTGTCTACCGCACCTGGCTATGTGGGGTCCTCTGGCCTGACATGAGGCACCCCATGTTTGCTCCCCCCTTCAGTATTACATGAGCATCTCTACTGTGCCCAGCAGCCCTGTGCCAGCTCCCAGGCCCCCAAAGGCCAAGTGTTCCAGATGCTTCCGTGTGGCTCCCACAGGTAGCGTTTTCCCTTCTGCTGGGTGGAGGGGTGGCTCTCAGTGCATTGTCAACACTCTGTGGCCAGTGCCAAAGCTCTCGAGGGGCCTGTTGTGGCCGGCGGGAAGCTTTTGAAGCCAATACCTGAGTTTTCCTCGAAAATTTCTGAATGTTTCAGTGAGGATCCTGCTTAGTTCTTTGGCCTGAAAGATGCTTTGAAACCATTTATTTTAAACCATGAAGGGAGATGTCTGTAGCGTTAATTGCCTCTAAACTAAAACATCACCGATTGCAGTGGTGACCGAGTGTGCCCAGCTGTGGGAGCACACAGGCTCTGCCAATATGTGACTTTAAATCAATAAACCGCTCAAGGATCCAGTGTGGCCTCGTGAATGGAATCCGAGTGGGGCCTAGGACAGAGTGGAGCGTCAGTCCCCTGTCCTTTCACCTTGGGGGTCCCCAGGGAAGGGCCTACAGACTTCCCCCCCCCAGGGCACAGCCCTGGCCCCTGTCCAGTGAGACTTGGGCTGCGGCTCAGCCTCCCCCGAACGGTCCAGCCCCAAGAACAGTGACCGCAGGCGCCAGGGCGGACACCTGCCTAAGGGAGCTGGGCAGGTCTGGCTGTGCCCACAGGTGCAGTGGCAGGTGGCAGGCCAGGTCCCGAGTCTACCTGGTCCACCGTGGACGGTCCGTTTCCCCATCTGATGAGCTGACACGAGCACCCTTGCGAAAGCAGGCAGTGGGAGATGGGCTTCACCTTCCAGGGGTTTGTGGGAACGTTTCTTGGTCGCTGGTAAGACCCAGTCTTTTCAGTTCCCATGCTTCCCAGAGCTCCTGTCCACTTCCACACTGACCGACAGACTCGGGAGGGGGAGCCCAGGGGTTCCTGTGCACGCTGGGCGTGAGGAGGACAAGCAGAAACCCCGGCTGCCTTGTGGTGGCCCTGCAGAGCCCGGCTCTGCACATCCCACCGGGTCCAGCCCTGGGTCAGTTCCTGGCCGGTCACCGGGAACACCCAGCCCCACCATGGGGGGAGCAGGGCCAGAGCGCGGCTGGGGGTACCTGGGACTGAAGGGACACACCGGCTGGGCATGCACGGCCCCACACTCTGCATGTCCTGACTCCCAATAACTTCTTGGCCCCCCTGGTCCCTCTGTTTTGGGGAGGACGCTGGTGCTGCCTGAGAGGGAGTCAGCCGTGCAGGAGAGGGGGCACTTTTATCGGTCGCCGCGGTAGCGTCTCAGGACATGTCTGCTGAAGGCCCCACCCTGCCTCCCGGCCCCAGCCTCCCCTTCCTGCCCGGCTCACCCCCCACCTCCGCCAGGACGGGCTCTGCTAAAAGCTGGGATGCATGGCGATGGGTTGGGTGCCTGGCATCAGTGGGGCCTCTTGGTGATGCTGGTCCCCCTCCTGCAGGGTCTGTGGCAGCGATGTCTCAGGTGTCATGGTTCAGCCCTAACATGAAAAAGTGCAAAGCAGCATGCTTGGGAAAGTTCCACTGCTCCATGTCCAGATGAGAAAAGGCCCGCGTCTCCGTGACAACAGGCTTCCAGCAGCTGCACGCCCAGGGCCCCTTTGCACACCTCCTCTCTGAACCTCCTCCAGGCCTGGAGAGGGGGGGCACAGGCTCCTACAGGACACGGGTGGCCCTGGGGACAGGGTGCCGTCTGCAGGCAGCTGCAAGGGCAGAGGCATTTCAGGGGAGGGCTGTGAGGGGGTGACCCAGAGAGATGCACGGACAGTGCCAGGGCAAGAGGTAGGACGGGCTGTGACTGGCAGGGATGTGGGCTTCTGCAGAGCTGGGCGCACAGGGAAGGCCTTCCTCCCGTGGGGACAGCCCACCTTGGAAGTGGCAGGAGCTGGGCCTGTCCCCCCCCCACATACGTCCCTCCAAGGACTGCCCCCCACCGCAATCTCCCCCCTCCCTGGGGCCTCTCAGGCTGAGGAGCAGGGCAGGCCTGGGGACAGCGTGGCCTCGTCTTTGCTACAGGCTTGGAATTTCTAGGACTTCTTGAGCTTCTTTTTAGCTCGCCATAGAATCCAAACTTCAACGGGAAATAAAAGGAAGGACAGCCTGACGGTGCCTTGTAGGAGATGCTTTTACTCAAAGCACAAGGTGGCTCCCGTCCCCACCTCCGAGTCAGGCGGGGCCGGCCTGGGCAGCGCTGGGCAAGCAACATGCACGCGGACTGGAGACACCGCCGGGAGCGAGGCCCCCAGGGTGGCCCCTGTCCGTCCGCAAGCGGCGGGAGGCCACGACTGCGGTTCCGTTTCGACAGCTCGTGAGGGGCAGCCTCCTGTGCCGGGGACGGCAGGGTCCCCGGCCGGGTCACGCCGGCCCCGCGCGCACCCACTCGCGTTCCGTGGCGTCCCCGGCCGCGCCGGCGCCGTCGGGGCCCTGCGAGCTGTCCTCGGTGGCGCTGGCGGAGCGCGTGCTGTCCTCGCGCAGGGCCGGCGCCGGGCTGACCGCGCGCTGCTGCTGCTCCTTGAGCTCCGAGTAGGAGCGCGAGAAGGTGTGGAAGATGGAGGTGACCGGGAAGGCCATGAGCAGGATGCCGCTGAGGATGCTGCTGAGCGCCACCACCTGGCCGGGCAGGCTGCGCGGCACCATGTCGCCGTAGCCCACCGTGGTCATGGAGATGACGGCCCACCAGTAGCTGGCCGGCACGCTGGAGAAGTCGCGGCGCGCGCCCAGCTCGCGCTCGGCCAGGTGCACGAGCGGCGCGAACAGGGCCATGGCCACGCAGAGGAAGAGCAGCAGCAGCCCGAACTCGCGCGCGCAGCGGCGCACGGTCAGCCCCAGCGAGCGCAGCCCGAGCGAGTGGCGCGCCAGGCGCATCACGTAGAGCACGCGCAGCGCGCGCAGCAGCCGCAGCACCAGCCCCGCGCGCTCCAGCAGCTTGTTGCCGCCCGCGCCCGCGCCCGCGCCCGCCCGCGCCGCGCCGCCCGCCGCCAGGCCCACGAGCAGCGACACGTAGAAGGGCAGGATGGCCAGGATGTCGATGATGTTGAGCGGCGTCCGCAGGAAGGCGCACTTGCTCTCGGCCTGCAGCGAGCGCAGCAGGAACTCGAAGGAGAACCAGGCCACGCACACCGTCTCCAGCACGAAGAGGTTGCGGCACTTGCGGGAGCACTCGCCCTGGGGAGGAGAGGGACACGCGTTGGGGCGCAGGCAGGCCTGCACCCTTGGTTCCCCAGGATGGGGGGACGCCACGGCCAGGCTGCCCTGACTCCGACCCCAGCCCGTGCAAGTGTGCCGCTGCAGGAGGGCCAGGGGTGCCCACCGAAATGCCCAATTCCTGTAAAAATGAGACTTAATCGGAGATTGGCTTCCGGCATGAGCTCAGCCAATCTGCTCCCCAGCAAAACTGGTGAAAATCATTAAGAAAACAGCCATTCGGAGCCTCTGGAAACAGTCCTGAGGGCAAGCAGCAAATGCAACGTCAAGAGAATGAAGGCCCAAGTCCGCTGTGTGAGCCTAGACCCCCGAACCCCAGTCCCAGCTCGGGGAGGAGCCCCGCTCCGGAGGCTGCAGCTCGCAGCCAGGGCGTTCTCCTGGGAGAAGGGGCTTCAGTGTCTCTCACCCGGCCCCCAGCCGAGTGGGGTTGGGAAGAGGGCCACCTTCTCCCGCCCCGCCCCACTCGCGGTGCACGAAGAATACTGGGACCCCAACAGGTTACCCTGCCTCTGGAGGGGGGCTCATGCCAGGAGAGGCCAGCAGGGGGACCGCGGCCTGTCGCCTCCCCCTCTCTCCATAGAGCGCTAGCTTTGAGAATGGGGGTCACTGGAGAAAGCGGCTTGCCACTGTCCCCACCCGGGTCCAGAGCTCCTGATTTCTTCCCAAAGGATCTGACGTCGTTTACAGCAGAATGTGAAGAAGTTCAGGCCTAAAAGTTGCCCTCAAGAGCAGCAGCGGTTGTGCTGAAGGAACGTGGGTCCAGTGAAGGCGGGCCTGGGCTGCAGGGGAGAGCTGGGGCACAGGACAGACACGGGAGCCCGGCTGGGTCAGAACCAGTCAGGCTCGGCCTCAGAAGCCCCAGTTCGATAGGATCTGTTTGTAGAGGAACTGGCAGTTGCTCAGGGCTGGTGGGGGCTGGGGCGGTGACTGCTCTGGGGCACGGCTCTCTCTGGGGTGATGGAGGTGTGAATGAGCCTGTGGTGACGGCTGTACAACCCTGCGCACCCTGCACGCTGTTGGTGGAGGGCATGCAGGTGAATTATATGTCAGGGAAGCTGTTTACAGAAAGACTTCATCTCTGGGCAAATCCAGAGTGTGGATCAGGCTGGGTGTGGGGACAGCACACCTGTCGAGGCCCTGCTGGGAGTCCCATCGTTGGCATCTCAGACCACAGAACATGCAGACCTCTCCACGCTGCCCAGCTGCTGGCGGCCTGGCCCGGGCACGTCTCACCTTTGACTGCAAACCTCTGGCGAACCCCCTCCCCAGGTTACATCAGGGCTGAGGAGCTGCTAACTTCAGGACACACAGGCTCTGCTGATGGTCACCGCACAGCGCAGTGTCCGAGCTGTTTGCTGGAGCAGCGGTTTCTGTCCACAGTTGGAAGGCCTCTCCTGGCCATCGAGAGCACACGCGACCTCAGCGATGGTTTCCACTCCAGACACACATTCTCAGGAGAAGCAGCACTCGCTGCCTCCCTCGAGGTGCCCGGCCATGGGCGGGAGGGGTAGACAGCGAAGGCCACACACCTACTGGCCACTCCACAGAGGCGGGGTGAAGCGGGGCTCTGGCAGTGACGGGGGCTGGGGGTTAAGGGTCAGCACTGCCTCTCTGTCCAAGAGCCCGGAGCAGCCTGGTCACTGAGCCTCAGAGACCACGTGACCACACCACTTAGCTCCGACACCTCCGCACTTCCTCCAAACAGGAGGCATCAAAATACCTACGTGGCCCGAGGGCGACTGCAACCTGGCAGTGAAGGACGGGGAATGTCTGTGCTATTATTGCTGGGGTCACTTCTCCTGGGAACCCTGGGGAAGCAAGGCTTACATTGGGCACGCCATTTCGGTTTAGAATGTATGTTTCGGTGTCAAGAGAATTCAGAACTTTCTGTGGATGTTTAGGGTTCTGGTATTTGTTCTTGAGACAGGATGGAACCACTGAGCAAGTCACCCTGAGGCCTCGGAGCCTTTCTTTCCTGAGAGGGGCCACAGCCACTGCCTGACCAGTCCTGCCACGTACCCAGGACGGTGCTGAGGCTCAGACCTCGGACAGGCCAGGGTGGGTCCTGGGTGCACACCCTCTGGGTCCCGCAGCTGGAGGCCACAGCCCGGGGGTCCCATGTAGCTGGGGGGCACAGGGTGAGCGGCCTTGCTCGCCTCTCCAGCTGGGTATGCCTCGAGGTGCCCACAGTGAAGAAGCACATTAATTTTGTTGAAGACACTTTCTTCTTAGGTTCTGAAGAGCTATTGGCGACATGTGGTGAATATTATGCTCAAAGATAATTTAGGGTTGAGTGTGTTCCACGAGGTGTCCAGGTGTGCTTTCCTGCGCCCTCCTGCTGCAGGTAGGCATGTGTGGGCATATGTGCCCTCCCGCTGCAGGTGGGCATGTGTGCCTGACAACAGGCCTTCACTCCTCAGACATTTCATCTTATCTCCAAGGGAAGCCACCATGCTTTCTGGCCAACTCTTGTGTCACAGCACCAACGCACCCTGGCGAAACCCCTCAAGCAGGAGGTGGGACTCCTTAAGGAGAAAGAAACATCTCACGTCTGCTCAGGTTGAGACCATGAGCACAGCACAGGAAGTGCGGGGACACTGGTGTCCCCAGGAACAGCACTTGCAGTGCGTGGCCCAAGGTTGCAGGCCCAAACGTGGATGAACCTGGAGGACATGATGCCGAGTGTCAGCCAGTCACAGAGCACAAACACGGTGTGCATCCAGGTATGTGAGGTACTTGCTGCAGTGAACATCCTAGAGGCAGGAAGTAGATGGTGGGTACCAGGGCCAGGGGAGGGCAGGGTGACGGGCACTAGGGAGACGGCGTCGCAGCTTTACAAGATGAAAAGAGTGCGTGCATGGATGGGGTATATTTACACCACGGAAGAGCGCACTAAAAAACGGACAAGATGGCAAATCTTATGTATGTTTTTCACGCACACAACGCTGGTGAAACAACTTTTGCTCCTGCGGCACGGACAACACCCAGCACTTCTCAGCAGCCACACCGTGCAGTCGCCCTCAGGACAACGGGCGGCACATGGCCATCCTCCCTGCATGTGCTCCCCAACCCCGCACGACAGCTCTTTAACCAGAACTGACTTGGAAAGACAGCTCCTCCGTGGTGTGAAGTGGTGCTTCAGGAAATGGGGAAGGGGTGGGGGTGGACATGAACACTGGGTGACACGGACACACCGGGACGCCAGAGAGGATTCGGCAAGGGCCAGCTTGGCCGCTGGGATGCTGTGCTGGCTGAGTCCCTAAGGCCCCCTACCCCCTGGTCCTTATCTAATGACCACCCCCCTGCATCATGTATGTAGTTACTGCCGCCTAGAAAACCCAAATATGTCAAGTATCTTTTTAGAAGCAGAATCCAGAACTTGGGCCTGGTTAAGACAACTGGAGACAGCTCATGCATCGGACAACCAACAATGAACTTGCTGAAATTTACAAACTGAACCTGCAGTCAGGGTTGCGACTCTTGGGCACACCAAGTAACGGCCAATGTTCCAGCGGGACGTGGATGTTTCCCTTCAGCTCCTCACTGTCTGAGCTGATACCCCCGAGCTTGGCAGAACGTTCCTCCCAGCTCCGAGGCTCTGAAGCTGAGCTGCCCTGCCTGGCCGCAGGGCCCCCTCCAGGGCAGGGGCAGGCAGATATTCTCTCCCCGCCCTTCCCAGCAGGAAATATAGGCAGCGGCACTCTCAGGCAACACAGCCGTGTCCTTCAAACACTGGAGCACCCCGTTCTCTTCTAACCCATCCACCTGGACCCCACGACCCGCAGGCTCCCCCGACCGTTTCCTGAACATTCCATGACACGCCCTGTGCACAAACGCTGACCCCACAATGACATTTCTGCGCGCATCCCACGTGCCGGCGTTCTCACAGGACAGAGGTGGGAGGCGCGAGGAGGCTACTGTTTGCGCAGGAGGAGCAGCCCGGCGCCTGGCCCTCTGCCCCGGACGCCTGCGGAGGTGGCATCCCGCGGACCCCGGGCGACAGGACTTGAGCGACAGCTCTAGGCCTCTATGAAGCTGAATGCGTCCGCCCCAAGGTGACCACACTTCAGGGCCTGAGGGCTGCAGAAACTCGGGGCAGAAGGCCGCTGAGCTCTGGAACTTGGCCTCTGCTGTCCGCCCGCCTCTCCCCGGAGCTTGGCCACGGCGCGCCCCGCGCCCGCGCTCTCAGCCACGGAGCGCGGGTGTCCGTGCCGCCCCCCCGGCGGCCGCCCCCAG